TAAGCCCCTGAGTCCAAGGAGATAAATATTCAAACCACAGCACACATGATCTTTATTATGGTGGCTTTATAGGAAGTCTTGAAGTCAGGTAGTGTTAGTCTTCTGTTTTTGTTCTTCAATATTAGGTTAGCTATTCTGGGTCTTTTGGTTTCTATATAAACTTCACAATCATTTTACAGGTATACATAAAGTAACTTGTTGAGATATTGACTGGGATTGCCTTGAATTTGTAGATCAAGTTGAGAAGGACTTACATCCTCACAATATTGGTTTTTGCTAACCATGGAAGTTAAATATCCATGTTTATTTAGATCTTCTTTGATTTATTTCATAAGAGTTTTGTAGTTTTCCATATGTAGATTTTTTAAAAAAAGATTTTATTTGTTATTTGAGAGGTAGAGTTACAGACAGTGAGAGAGAGAACAGAAAGGTTTTCCATCCACTGGTTCATTTCCCAGATGGTCGCAACGGCCGGAGCTGGGCTGATCCGAAGCCAGGAGCTTCTTCTGGCTCCCACATGAGTGAGGGGCCCAAGCACTTGGGCCATCTTCTGTTGCTTTCCCAGTCCATAGCAGAGAGCTGGATCAGAAGGGGAGCAGCTGGGACTCGAATCAGTGCCCATATGGGATGCCAGCTCTGCAGGCAGAGGATTAACCTACTGCGCCACAGTGCTGGCCCCCTGCATGTAGACTTTTAACCTACCTTATTAGATGTGTTCCCAAGTAATTCACCCTTCAGGAGTGCTAATGAAGTAGTATTTTTTAAAAAGAATCTATTTGTTTATTTGAAAGAGAGAAAAAGAGATCCCCCATCTGCTGGTTCACTCTTCAAATGGCTGTAATGGCCAGGGCTGGGCCAGGCTGAAGCCAGGAGCCAGGAGCTTCTTCTGGTTCTTCCACGTGCATGCAGGGGCCCAAGCACTTAGGCCATCCTCTGCTGCTTTCCCAGGCCATTAGCAGGGAGCTGGATCAGAAGTGGAGCAGCTGGGACAGGAACTGGCATCCGTATGAGATGCTACTGTTTCAGGGGTGGCTTTGCCTGCTGTGTCACAATGCTGGCCAGGCCAAAGCCAGGAGCCAGGAGATTCCTCTGGGTCTCCCACACAGGTACAGGGGCCCAAGCACTTGGGTCATCCTCCCCTGCTTTCCCAGGCGCATTAGCAGAGCGCTGGATTGGAAGTGGAGCAGCTGGGACTAGAACTGGTGCCCATATGGGATACCAGCACTGCAGGCAGAGGCTTAGCTTTCTATACCACAGTGCTGGCCCCAGTAGTAGTATTTTTTAAATTTCATCTTCTAATTGTTCATTGCTGACATATAGGAGAACAATAGACTTTTATTAACCTTTTATCCTGCAACCTTGCTGTCATCACTTATTAGTTCCAGGAGGGATTTTTTTGTCTATTCTTTGGGATTTTGGTGAAGAATGATGAAAACGCTGTTTCCTAAGCCTGTGTACCTTTTCTTTTGTTTCCTATTTTATTGAATTAGCTGGGAATTGTGTTATGATGTAGAAGTGTCAGCAGAGAATGTCTGTCTCATTCCTGATCCTAGGAGGAAAGCATGTATTTTCTCACTGTTAGGTATGATGCTAGTGGGAGGGATTTTTATAGGATTTTCTTTATCAAAGTGAATCGTTTCCCCTCCATGAGTGTTCCTACTTTGCCAAGAATTATTTATTTTTTAATCACAGATGGCTATTGGATTTGTTCATGATTGATTCACTTTCTTTAATAAATATGGACCTTTGCCATATTTTAAATTGGGTTATTTGTCCTTTTATTATTGGGTTGTAAGTGTTCTTTCTCTATTTGGATTTAAATATCTTATCAGAGACATGATTTGCTAATGTTTTCTGCCCCTTTGTGGGTTGTCTTTTTAACACTTTCTTGATTGTGTTCTTTGGGATATAAACGTTTTCAATTTAAAAAAAAAAAGAGAGGCCGGTGCCGCGGCTCACTAAGCTAATCCTCCTCCTGCGGCGCCAGCACACCGGGTTCTAGTCCCGGTCAGGGCGCCAGATTCTGTCCCGGTTGCCCCTCTTCCAGGCCAGCTCTCTGCTGTGGCCCGGGAGTGCAGTGGAGGATGGCCCAAGTGCTTGGGCCCTGTACCCGCATGGGAGACCAGGAGAAGCACCTGGCTCCTGGCTTCGGATCAGCGCGGTGCGCTGGCTGCAGCGGCCATTGGAGGGTGAACCAATGGCAAAGGAAGACCTTTCTCTCTGTCTCTCTCTCTCACTGTCCACTCTGCCTGTCAAAAAAAAAAAAAAAAAAAAAAGAGAGAGAGCAGTGGGGAGAAAGAGAGAGATCTTCCATCCACTGCTTTACTTTCCAAATGGCCTCAATGGCCAGACTGGGCCAGGCCAAAGCCAGGAGCCCAGGAGCTTCTTCCAGTTCTCCCACATGGGTAGCAGAGGCTCAAGCACTTGGCCATCTTCTGCTTTTCCTAGGCCATTAGCAGGGAGCCAGATCAGAAATCGAGCAGCTGAGACACAGACCAGCACCCATATGGAATGCCAGCATTGCAGGCAACAGCTTTACCTGCTACATCACAATGCTGCCCCAATTAAAAAAAAATTTATTAGAAAGTCAGGTTAGGCCGGCGCCGTGGCTCAATAGGCTAATCCTCCACCTTGCGGCGCCGGCACACCGGGTTCTAGTCCCGGTTGGGGCGCTGGATTCTGTCCCGGTTGCCCCTCTTCCAGGCCAGCTCTCTGCTATGGCCAGGGAGTGCAGTGGAGGATGGCCCAGGTGCTTGGGCCCTGCACCCCATGGGAGACCAGGAAAAGCACCTGGCTCCTGGCTCCTGCCATCGGATCAGCACGGTGCGCCGGCTGCAGCGGCGGCCATTGGAGGGTGAACCAATGGCAAAGGAAGACCTTTCTCTCTGTCTCTCTCTCTCTCACTGTCCACTCTGCCTGTCAAAAAAAAAAAAAAAAAAAAAAGTCAGGTTACAGAGAGAAAGAGAGAGAGAGAACCAGAGACAGAGAGGGGAAGAGAGAGAGAGATCTTCCATCTGCTGCTTCACTCCCCAAATGGCCACAGTGGCCAGGGCTGGACCAGGCTGAAGCCAGTAGCCAAGAGCTTCTTCCAGGTCTCCCACATAGGTGGCAGGGAGACCATCTGGGCATCCTTCGCTGCTCTTCCAGGCTGTTAGCAGGGAGCTGGATCAGAAATGGAGCAGCTGGGACTCAAGCTGGCTCCTACGCAGGGTGCTGGTGTCTTGGCAGCTGCTTAACTCACTATACCACATCGCCATACCCAGAAGTTTTTAATTTTGATAAATCTAATTTATCTTTGTTTTCTTTGTTGCTTATGCTTTTGGTGTCATATCTAAGAAACTACTGCCTAATCCAAGGTCAAAAACTTTTACTCCTATGTTTTCTGCTAAGTATTTTGTAGTTTGGGCATTTTATTTAGGTCCCTGATCTATTTTGAGTTAATATTCTAAAACGGAGTGAGTTAAAAGTCCAACTTCATCTTTTGCATGTGGATAGCCAGTCACTGCAACACACACACACACACACACACACACACTTTTTAAAAGTCCTTGTTTGCTAATTCTAGCATTTAGGTAAACTGTGGACCTGTTTCCACCAACTGGTTTTTCTTATAACCAAGCATTATATTTCCTTATTCCTTTAGCTTTTTATTATATACTGGATTTAGTGTATGATGCATTGCCAAAACTCCAGCTTTGTGTTGCCTTCTTGTGAATAGTGTTGAGTTTTCTTCTGGGGAGAGTCGAGTTTGGCTGCTGTCCCCTGAGCCTGGGGCAACCTGGTCTTGTGTTGGGGCAAGCATTTCAGTGTTGCCCTTAGTCCTAGAGCGTTTCTCTTGGTGCTGGGACATAATTTTTATTTCTAAGTGGTAGCCCTTCTTATGTCTTACTGGAAATTCTGGAAGCTTCCCAAACCTCTCTATAAATTGGCAGGAATTGGCCTTTAAACTCTGTTCTGTTACAGCAGGGCAGAAGCTCAGTATCTCAACTCCTTCTGCTTTCATTTAAAAAAATACACTTTTGGTTTGGAGTCTTGATTCTGTGCAGTTCAGGAGTGAGCCAAGGACATAAATGGAATTTACACGTGGATTATTTAGGGCGGACCCTTTTGTGGCTTCCCTCTCTCTCGTATTCTTCCTCTCACTTCCAGCATCTCTGGCAGACCCAAACTGCATTCTCCGGTTGCTTAGGCAGAGAAGGCTGGATTTCTGCCCAGTGGGGGTGCAGACGGAGTGTTGTCCTGAGCCCGCATCAACCTGGACCCGCTGTGTGGTTCCCTGGTTACAGAAGCTGATTCCCTTCCTGTCTCTGCCTGCCTTTTGTTAGTCCCCAGGGTCTTCAAACGGGTGTTTTTAAACTATTTCCTTCAAAGTGTATTACTACCATCAGCAGGTGGGTTGGTCTCATCCAGACTGCTCTGCCATTACAGGCAGCTGGGACCAGTAGACTAAGGAACTTGGACTTTGTTCTGCGCGCTGGGAGGTTTTAAATGGGGAAGTCGCCTGGTGAGGTCATACATTGGGGAGATTTGTATGGAGAAGGCTTGTAGGACGGGTTAGTGAGGGAAAGTCAGGACACGTGGGTCGCTGCCCAATGGAAACAGAAAAGGAGAGACCTAAAGAAAGATCCGGTTTCTGGGAGGGGCCCTGTGACCGTGCCCTGAGGAAGGGCTCCCAAGTAACCAGTGAAGATGGCCACTGCTCCATCCTGGAGTCTGGCCTGGGTCAGGTTCATTGTCTGCGGAGAGGCTTTCCACACTTCCTCGTCCTCACCCGATGCTGTCCTGGAAAAGTGACCTGGCCGACTCCTGGGCCCACCTAAGCGCTATGGAAGGCCACCCGGGCTTAGTTTGACCTTGAGCCTGGGGGACGTCTTGGACTGGACTCGAGTTGGGGAAGGGCAGGGTGAGTCCGCGCTGAATGCAGGCTGCTCTGCCTGGACCTGTTCTTGCTATCTGTCCTTGGCCTTGTGTGCTAGCTGTGTTGCTTTCTCTTCCCACAGGTCAAGTGGATGATGTATTGGATTATATTTGCACTTTTCACCACAGCAGAGACGTTTACAGACATCTTCCTCTGTTGGTAAGTGCCCCAGGATTTGAGACATTTCAAGAGATCGTTTTGCATGTGTTGGGAAAGAGGTGGGAAAGGGCTGAATCCTCAAACAGTAGCTCAGGCCACAGATGCCAGTGCAGGAATGTGAATTGGAGCACTTTTGAAAAAAAAAAATTTTTTTTTTTGACAGGCAGAGTGGACAGTGAGAGAGAGAGAGAGAGAGAGAGAGAGAGAGAAAGGTCTTCCTTTTGCTGTTGGTTCACCCTCCAATGGCCGCCACGGCTGGCGCGCTGCGGCCGGCGCACCGTGCTGATCCGAAGCCAGGAGCCAGGTGCTTCTCCTGGTCTCCCATGGGGTGCAGGGCCCAAGCACTTGGGCCATCCTCCACTGCCCTCCCGGGCCACAGCAGAGAGCTGGCCTGGAAGAGGAGCAACCGGGACAGAATCCGGCACCTCGACCGGGACTAGAACCCGGTGTGCCGGCGCCGCAAGGCGGAGGATTAGCTTATTGAGCCGCGGCGCCAGCCGAAAATGTTTTGAAAGGCTCAGTAACACAAAGAGAGAAAGAGAAAGGTAGGAAGATCTTCCATCAGCTGGTTTATTCCCCAACTGGCCTCAGGGGCCTGGGACTGGGCCAGGCTGAAGCCAGGAGCCAGGAACTTCATCCGGGTCTCCCACCCACGTACTCAGCCATCCTCTGCCGTCTTCCCAGGCGCATTAGCAGGGAGCTGGAACGGAAGCTGGGACTCAGACAGGCACTCTGATAGGAGATGCCGGCGTTGCAAGTGCAGCCTAACTTGCTGTGCCACAATGCTGGCCCCTAACTGAAGCTTTGTTAATAAATTATCTAATCTATGAAAGTTGTTCTTTCTGTTAGTATTTATTGAATGACCTTGTAAGAGCAGGTGTTGTCCCAGGCACTGGGGATATCGTGATGGATAAGATACCATTCCTCAATTAGTGTGCTTCGCAAAGAAGCATTCATTTATTAGAAAGAAAAATGGAAGGAACAAAAGAAGCAATATGCAGACGTGTGCGGTAAAATCGAGGTTTCCTTCCCACACATTTCACTAACCACTACTCACAGCTGTGTATCCTCTTTAAAAAGTTGTTTTTGTGTACATAATTTAAAATTTTTTTTAATTTATTTATTTCAAACACAGGGAGATGGAGACAAACCATTAGCTAGTTCACTCCTGAAATACCCAATGCAGCCTGGCTTAGGCCAGGCCAAATCAGGGAGCCCAGAACTGAATCCAGTTTCCACCTGGGTGGCAGGGATGCAAATGCTTGAGCCATTGGTTACCTGCTGCTATGCAAGGTGTGTGTTAGCAGGAAGCTGGAGTCAGAAGCGGAGACTGAAACCCGGTAACTCCAGTGGGGGTGTGAGCTTCCCAAGCAACGTCTTAACCGCCGCGCCAGATGCCCCCCCCATTCTCTTTTTAATGATGCTGTTATGATATACTTAATGGTCCTCTCTTGCTTATTAAGTTTATCTTGGAAATACTTTCATATGAACGTAAATACTTGGATAGCTATCTATTTTTAAATGGTCATCATATTGATGGAACATAATTTATGTAACTAAAGTCCTTTTCATAGATAGTTAAGTTGTTTCCCATTTTTTTTCTCTTAAAAATACTGCAGGTATTTCTAGCAATGGAGAAATTTAAAAACATAGCTGAGTTTTTATGGATATATCGTCTTGGGTGAAGAAGTCTGTGAATAATATATTCTATAGTATGCTGTTTATGTTTAAAGAACAGGAGGGGGCAGGTGTTTGGCCTGGTAGTTAAGATAGTAATGAGAACACCCACGTCCCACGTTGCAGTACCTGGCCTCAGTTCCCAGCTCCACGTCATGACTCCAGCTCCCTGCTAATGCAGACACTGGGAGGCAGTGCTGATGGCTCAGGAAGTTGGGCTCCTGCACCCATATGGGAGACCTGGACTGAGTTCCCAGCTTCAGCCCCCTAGGCCATTGTGGAAATTTGGAGAGTGACCCAGCAGACGAGAACTCTTTCTCTCTCTCTTCTAAAAAAAAAAACTCTAAAGGCTGTGAATTTGTGCACTTGCAAATGTATATTAAAAGGTTATTTATTTATTAATGAAGGTTATTTATTTTTTTGTTCTCTAAAAGATTTATTTGTTTCAAGAAGTTACAGAGAAAGGGGGATAGACAGAGATCCTCCATCCGCTGGTTTACTTTCCAAATGGCTGCAATGGCCAGGGCTGGGCCAGACCAAAACCAGGAACCAGGTAGCTTCTTCTGGGTCTCCCATTTGGGTGCAGGGTCCCAAGACTTGGGCCACCTTCCCCTGCTTTTCCCAGGCAATTAGCAGGGAGCTGGATCTAAAGAGGAGCAGCCAGGACACGAACCAGCACCTGTATGGGATGCCAGCACCATAGGCGGCAGCTTCACCTGCTATGCCACAGCCCCAGTTCCAGCCAAGATTATTTCTACAACTTGGGATCATGGGGTTGGTTTTGCATTGGGTCTGCTGTGTGAATAAATTTTGCCATCTCAGAAAAATAATAAATATATTTCCATTTTGGAAGAAATTATTCTTACCCTAAAAGGACCAATATGAACTTGCCCATGGAATGTCCTAGGTCCAGGGACAGGGCTGACCACTGCTTCTGTGAGTACTGTTGTAGTCAATGTCCTGAATTACCTTAGTTTGTAGCTTCCTCCTCCAGGAGGCTGACTTTCCCCTCCAATGGGAGAGATCACCATCTCAGCCATCGTTGCCTCAAGCTGTAGGGAAGGAATCCAGGTTTCCTAATTCCATGAATTTGTGCCTCTTTGCCCTGCACTGTACCTAGGTAACACAGCATACTGCTAATGGCACTCAGTTTCCTTGAAAAAGTACAGAACTCTTCCAAGCCACCTCCTCTCCCCCAGAGACCCCAGAGGCAGACACTAGGAGTACAGCCCTCTTGTGCAGAGCTACAGCACGAAGGCTCGTGTCTGATTCACAGAGATGAGGGCCGTGGGCCTGGCCCAGTTGCCATGGTGTAGTCAGTTAAACAGCATGGCCAGGCCACTCCGTACCATGCAGCCCTACCTCTGTGATGACGCCCTGCCTGTCCTCCTGGCCTCCTCACAGCACCAGGGGACAGTGCTGGGCTCACCACCTCTTCCCAGGGTTCTCAGCATTTCAGCCTCGCTGCATTTTACGGAGTGGAAATCCTGTCTGATGATGCTCCTCCCTGTCGTGGACAGCACTGATGCTAGGTCTGTTTTGAGCACAGACACAGGTCTGGATAAAAGCCCTCTCTCTTCCTGACCTGCGTGGGGACCTCCCTGCTCCCTCATTTGGCCCTCCTGGCTGGAGGTGGCCAGGTAGTTCATGAGCAGGCCATGAGCGGTCTCTTGCCTTTCTCTGGTGGCCCGAGCTCTGCTTCTGCAGGGTAGGGGCTGCTCAGGAACCTTCTCTGCCTGCTTCAGCCTTCCACTGCCCGGCCACGCCCCCAGCCGGCCCCCAGCGATGATGAGTCGGGGCTTCTCAGGGGGAGTCAGACCCCCTGGGGAATGTCAGAGCCCAGGTGCCCTTCAAGGACACCAGCTTAGCAGCTCTGAGCTAATAATAAGAATAGTAAAAGCTCCTGTCCTAAAATGATCCTGGCTTCCGGGAAGCATCTTTGACTGTTGTTCCCTTCCGGGAATGGAGCTGACCCATTGCATTCATGCTTCTCCATCGCTCGCTCTTCACTTCCCTGCCCCCCTCTTCCCACCGCCTCCTGAGAGCCGTTTCCTGTTTGTGGTTAACTTTTTAATGTCCTGATGAAAACAGTAATTTCATGGATGGTCACGGAGCAAGATAGGAGGGAGGCTTGTTTCATTACTTGTGGAGGTGATCTCATTTTGTTTTTCAAAAAATATAAAATGATACGTGCCCATGGCAAAAATAAGCTTGCAAAAGTGCACTAAACAGTCCCTCTCCTCCCCCAGACCCACAGTCGCACCCTCAGAGGGCCCACTGTTCCAAGTCACTCCTGTTCTCGTCTAGAAGTGCTCTAGGCACATTCCCTGCGTGTACTCTGGGCAGCGCTATGCCTGGCTCAGCCCTCTTAGACTTCACCACCCGTCCACAGTGGGCAGGGGTTGCCTTGGGAGGGAGGCGAGACTGTGCCTGTGCAGTGGGAGCCACTGTGGAGGAAATGGGGGTGCTTCTGTGGACTACCGCTCCCCACCCGCCTGCATGCGTTTCAGCGCCCGAGACTTCAGGCCCGTGCCTGGGGAGGCTCTGGCTTTACCCGGGCGTCAGGACATCTTTACTGTACTTTGGGCATCCACAGCCGTCCCATCCCATCTTTATTGCAACCACTGCACTTGCCCTTGGCACAGGACAGCAACCCCAGACAATACGAAAAATGGACGGGTGTGGCATCATTTGAGAAAACTTTATTTATAAAAACAGACAGGCTGGGTTTGGCCCATGAGCCATGGGTTTTTGGGACCAGTGATCCATTCTAGCAAGCAACAGAGACTAAGTTAAGAAAAAGGAAAGGGGCCGGCGCCACGGCTCACTAGGCTAATCCTCCACCTAGCGGCGCCGGCATACCAGGTTCTAGTCCCGGTTGGGGCGCCGGATTCTGTCCCGATTGCTCCTCTTCCAGGCCAGCTCTCTGCTGTGGCCCGGGAGTGCAGTGGAGGATGGCCCAAGTGCTTGGGCCCTGCACCCCATGGGAGACCAGGAGAAGCACCTGGCTCCTGCCTTCGGATCAGCGCGGTGCGCCGGCCACAGCACGCAAGCTGTGGCGGCCATTGGAGGGTAAACCAACAGCAAAGGAATACCTTTCTCTCTGTCTCTCTCTCTCACTGTCCACTCTGTCTGTCAAAAAAAGAAAGAAAGAAAGAAAGAAGGAAAGAAGGAAAGAAGGAAAGAAGGGAAGGGAAGGAAGAAAACGAGGCTGTGTTAGGAGATGCTTAAAATAAGTCAGGGAATGGAAACAAAATCTGAAAAACTAAGACTAAATCCCTAAGGGTAGGAGCCAGTGTCGTCAGGGACCAAGCACTGAAGCTTAAGGGCCTGCTCCTAGCCCTGCCAGTTTTGTTTCGAAGCTCCACTTTTGCCCCTGCTGTGGGCCTCCCAGTTCCAAATTTCAGTCTCTTGTGATGTAGAAATTACTTGGTACTCAGTAGTAAGTACTGCTGTTGGCAAGTGCTCTTGGTTGTCAGCGCTTAGTACTTGGCTGTTACCTAGAGATCTTTTGGTACGAGAGCATGGTCCAAAAGTTACCCTGCTACGCATCATTGTAGAACCTGCTGTGTGCTGGTTCTGTGCAGATGCTGGGTGGCTCCAACAGGGCCAGCCCCTCTCTGCAGCCTCCAGGAGAGAAAGCCATGTGGGACATTGCCAGCCCTGGGGTGGACCAGGGCTTGAGTCCAGCCGTCTCTCTTCTTCCATCCCATACTTTCCTTCTGTCCTAAAGAAGGTGATCTGTGCCTCTTCCTGTTCTCTTTGTTTATGTTGGGGGTTAGGAGCTTGCTCGGTCTTTTCTCTCTTTTTTTTTTTTTTTTTTTAAGATTTACTTATTTATTTGAGAGGTAGAGTTACATTTAGTGAGAGGAAGAAACAGAGAGAAAGGTCTCCTTCCATTGGTTCACTCTCCAAATGGTCACAATGGCCAGAGCCGCACCGATCCAAAGCCAGGAGCTAGAAGCCAGGAGCTTCTTCCCAGTCTCCCACGTGGGTGCAGGGGCCCAAGGACTTGGGCCATCTTCTACTGCTTTCCCAGGCCACAGCAGAGAGCTGGATTGGAAGAGGAGCAGCCGGGACCAGAACCAGTGCCTGTATGGGATGTCGGCACCACAGGTGGAAGATTAACCCACTGCGCCACGGTGCCAGCCCCGGAGCCTGCTTTTTACAAAATTATTTATTATGGGTCTGGTGCTGTGGTGTACTGGGCTAAGCCTCTGCCTGCTGTGCTGGTATCCCATATGAGTGCCAGTTTGAGTCCCTGCTGCTCCACTTCAGACCTAGCTCCCTGCTAATGGCCTGGGAAAGCAATGAACAATGGCAAAAGTCCTTGGGCCTCTGCACCTGCATGGGAGAGCGGCTCCTGGCTTTGGATCAGCCCAGCTGTGGCCATTACAGCCATTTGGGGAGAGAATCAGCGGCTGGAAGATCTGGCGCTCTCTGTCTCTCTCTCTCTGTAACTGCCATTCAAATGAATAAATAAATCTTAAAACAGGCAAACCAAAAAAAATATTGTATAAAGACACATCCTACCAGCCCTAATCTCATAGCCTAGGACAAGTTCTTATAGTTTGCTATACACTGTGAGGGCGTGGACATGGGCACTCAGGTCCTCTTCCTCTTCCTCGCACAGAGGTACAACTTCCATCTATAAATAAAGAGAACACACAAACTCTACTTCTCGAGGCAGATGTCTGGCTGAGTGGCTAAGTGGCATCCCGGATTAGAGTGCCCAGGATCAAGTCCAGGCACTTCCGCTTCTGACCCAGCTTCCTGCTAATGTGCCCCCTGGGAATCAGCAGGTGGTAGCTTAAGTACTTGGGTCTCTGCCAGCTGTGTGGGAGACTCTGAGTTCCCTGCTCCTGGCTTCAGCCTGGTCTAGCCCTCACTGTTTTGGGCATTTGGGGTCTGGACCAGTGAATGGAAGATCTGTGTCTGTCAATTTCTGCCTCTCTCTCTCTACCTTTCAGATAAAATGAAATTAGCTTTAAAAAAAAGAATTATGCCTCTGGGTAATTATGCTAACAGTACATTTGCATGTGTGTGTAAAGAAGCATACACAGGAAGTTCACTTGCAGCTCTGCTGTGCAGTAACCATGACAAATATCCATTCCTGGGGGTCCTGGGGCGATGCTTAGACACCGTATGCAGACATTAAGGTTGAAGCAACTCTCTAGATACTGGTGTGAGTTAATCCCCACGGTGTGCTGTTAATTGTGTGGCGTGTGTGTGTTTGTGTGTGTGTGTGCAAGTGTGAGGCAAGGTATGGGAGGGGTCTTTCAGATGCTCCTGTGTACAAAGGGTAGTTAAGGGAATCCTTTACATGCAGTCAGGGGACCCACAATGATGTTTCATTCTGTGACAAACTACAAGTGTGACGGTTGTCCCATGAGACTTTGTCACCTGGTGACAGCATTAGCCTTCGCTTGGGCGTTTGGGGGCGTGGATTCTGTGGTGTCCTCACAGTGGTGCAGTGGCCTGGTGGTGCCTTTCTCAGCGTGCCCCCCTGCCTGAGTGGTGCCTGACTGCACTTACGTGACTGTGTGTGCCCAGCCCACATCCACCCCTGGAAGCCGATAATGCTTTTGCTTTTGAAAAAGGGGCTAGGGGTTGAGGAGGGGTGGAAGGAGACTCTGCTGTGCGCTCTGGACTTTTAGAATATTTTAATGGTGCACGCACGACCTATTTTTAAAAACTCCCTCTTCTACATGTAGATAAAAGAGCTGCAGTGTGACAGATGCCCTTGGGATGATCTGTGTGTCTTGTGTTGGTGCCCAAGCTTGCCAGACTCATTTGCTTTTCCCTCGGGGCTGGCAAAGGCTTGTTTGCAAAACAAAGGTTCCTCCGTTATTAATCACCAGAGTGTTCAGATGTGGGAGAATCGCGCCTCCGTTCCGTCAGCCCCTCTCCTCTGTGGCTGAGAAACATTAAACAACCTTGCCATGAAATGCCCGCTCGTTGCTAAGGAATATTTGGGAAGAGGCTGCCAAGGCGGAAAGCAAAAGGCCAGGAGACTTTGATGAGAGGCGGAGGAGGTGGAGCCGTGGGAGCTACAGTCCCCCCACCCCCCAAGACGAAGGAAGGGCTGAAATTGTTCTCTTTTGTTTGGGGTTCCCTTCTCTGGGGAGGCTGCCTGATCTCTCCAACTAGCACAGGCATCTTCTGCATGGCATCCTGTTGTAAGGATGCCCAGGCTTGGTGTTAGAGAGCCGTGCTGAGACCTGCAGACTGGAAAGTGACTGTCGCAAAGAAAGAAGTCTGGGAGACACTCAGAGCTCTAGAAATGGGAAACAGGGCACAGTGCGCCCAGCAGGCCACCCGGGGAAACTCAGAGCCACTTGCAGGCAGAGTGAGGAAACTGGGCAAGAGCTTTCCCCAGGAGGAATGGGCGAGGCAGGTGAGCAGCTTGGGGTGGGCTGGTTTGAATGACATCAGTGGACTCTCTCTGGTTGTCTGCACCTTGGTCCTGGTGGCTGGCTGCCAGGAGCATGCGATGCCAGCAGAGGAAGTGAGTGGAGTGTGCATTCGGAAGGTGTACTTGCAAGTGAGCTGTTTATTGTCTCTGGGAATTGGCTCACCTTGGAAGAAGCAGCCCTCCCATGGTCAGCAAGAGCCCAAATTGTCATGCATCAGAATACAGAAAATATAAAGACACGGTTAATGGTTCATATACCACAGAACTGCCAAATATGGTTGTGCAGGTTGTTCACAGCACAAGGTATCTGGCTTGAAGGAGGTGAGTGGGGTTGAGATCTAGACCAATTGTGCATGCCAGTGTGCCCACAGAACTGCATCTGGTCAAAGGGGCTGGCTGGCTCTTTCTAATGTGTTCAGAGGCACCATGTGAGCTAGCAGAGGCCCATGGTGGCACTTGTCTCAGATGGCTGTTCTGTATTATTTGTAGGTCTTGTATCCATCTCGTTGGTGTTTCTGGATGTTCCCAGAGGACAGGGATGAGGTCTTCTTTGCTCGCCATTGTCTCCCCAGAGCTCGGCACCAGCTGGCACATATGGGTGCTGGATGTGTGTTTGTGGGGTAAATAAATGAATGGGCTGGCAGGTGTGCAAGGTTTCACGCACCACAGTTGTGTGCACCTGTCCCCCAGGCTCTTCTCACACTTGGCATCCAAAGGATCAAATCTGCCCACCCCGACTTGAGTAGCGGAGTACATTCTCCTTCCCGGTAAGCACTGGGCTCCTGGATGTGCCTCTCTGGGCCAAGAAGGCAGCTAAGAAGCAAGTGCGTTCTATCCTCAGTCTTGAGATTGTCAGTAACTCCTCCTAGTGCCTGTGTCTTCTTGGCCACGAGTGAAGAGTGATTGACTCATTGGATATATGGGTGAGAACCTGGTCTTCTAAGGCGACTGGTGCAGCCCCAGCACCAACCTAGATGAACATTGCCATGCAGGAGGTATCTGTTATTGCCAGGCAGGATCTCAGGGTGATTGCTGGACAGAACCTGGTCCCTGGTTTGCTTTGACAATAAAAGAAAACACAAGAGGCAAATGTTGGGCACGGTGGTTAAGACACTGCTGGGTGCTCCCATTACCAGAATGTATGGGTTCAAGTCCCTGCTCTACCTCCGATTCCAACTTCCTGCTAATCCATACTCTGAGAGGCAGCAGGTGAAGGGTCAAGTACTTGGGTCCCTGCTGCCCTCATGGGAGACCTGGATTGAGCTCTGGGCTCCTGGCTTCAGCCTGGCCCAGCCTTGGTTGTTGCAGGCATTTGGGGAGTGAGCCAGAGGATGGGAGTCTCTCTCTGTCTCTCTGCCTTTCAAATAAAAACAAAGAATAGATAGAAAGAGAATGAAGGGAAGGGAAAAAAAGGAAAGCCTGCTTTCAAGGAGAGGCCTGAGGGTTATGTGGTGTGTGTGCACACGTGTCTAGTGGAGGAAGGAAGAGCTTGGGGACCTTGCATCCTGGGGGTCCAGAGGCCTGCAGGCCACCCACCAGGTCTCCTCATTCACAGGCCCTGGGCAGAGCTGCTCAGAACCTAACGGAATGTGTGTTTTGTTGTCTCTGCAGGTTTCCATTCTATTATGAACTAAAAATAGCATTTGTAGCCTGGCTGCTGTCTCCCTACACAAAGGGCTCCAGCCTCCTCTACAGGAAGTTTGTGCATCCCACACTGTCGTCAAAGGAAAAGGTAATCCCTGCCTGCTGCTTTGCCTCTCACTCCTTCCTGCAAGTGAAAAGTGAAAAGGAGAAGTTGATAAGTAAAAAGGACGGAGGATCTTACAGCAAGAGACCTCTCAGTTAACTCTTTGTCTGCCCCAACTTTTACAGCTATGATTTTACATAGACTATTTAAAATTTTTACATAGAACAGTCTTTTTAAAATACTTTAAGGGACCGGTGCTATAGGGTAGCAGATAAAGCCACTGCCTGCAGTGCCAGTATCCCCATATGGGCTCTGGTTCAAGACCTGGCTGCTCCACTTCTGATCCAGCTCTCTGCTATGGCCTAGAAAAGCAGTATGAGATGGCCCAAGTCCTTGGGTCCCTGCACCCATGTGGGAGACCAAGAAGAAGCTCCTGGGTCCTGGCTTCAGATGGGCACAGCTCCAGCCATTACAGCCAATTGGGGAGTGAACCAGTAGATAGAGGACCTCTCTCTGCCTCTCCTTCTTTCTCTGTGTGACTCTGATTTTCCAATAAATAAATAAATCTTTAAAAATAAAATACCTTAAAAACTTAACATAGATAAAGTATTGATATTCCTAGACCTTAAATGTGTTGACACGTAAGACATGTCTAGTGTGTCTTCGTAATGACCCAGGATGCTAGAACTGTTTCCAGGAGCCAGCTCTGTTGTGTGGCAGGTACAGCCTCTGCTTGTGATGCCAACGTCCCCTACCAGAGCACCGGTTCAAGTTCTGTCTGCTCTGTGTCTCTGATCCAACTCCCTGCTAGTATACCTGGGAAAGCAGTGGAAGATGGCCCAAGTGGCTGGGTCCCTGCCACCAACATAGGAGACCCATTTGGAGTTCCAGGCTCCTAGATTTGACCTGGTCCAGCCCCAGCCGTTGTGGCCATTTGGGAGGTTAACCAGCAGATGGAAGATCTTTCTCTGTCTTTTAAAAAATAAAAAAGAATTGTTGCTATAATGCTAGATATTTAGGTTATCTCTTTCTTTAATAAAAAAGATTTATTCTATTTTATTTGAAAGACAGAGTGACAAAGAGGGAGGGAGGGAAGGAGAAAGAGAGAGCGAGTGAGAGTGAGATCTTTCCCACCTGCTGGGCACAACAGCTGGGTCTGGGCCAAGCCCAAACCAGGAGCCTAGAACTTTATCAGGTTCTCACATGTAGGTGGGCCCTTTTGCTGCTTTCCCAGGTACATTAGCAGGCAACTGAATTGGAAGCAGAGCAGCCAGGACTTGAACCAGTGCTCTGATAGGGGATGCACAGCCTAACCCGCTGCACCACAATGCTGGCCCCACATTATTTTTTCATGTTGTAGATAACTCTGTAGTGAATACAATCAAGCAAGGAGTTTAGTTCCTTCTGTCGCTCCCCCTCTTCGTGGAGGAACGACACAGGACCCTGCGCTGTCCTTTTGTCTGCTCGGCCCTCCCCGGGTTTGCTGCTGGTTCTTCCCGGGTTGGCTACTGTCCCTTCCACCTCCGTGGAAGGGCAGTTCCCCCTGGCCACATTCCCCACTTCCGCAGGGGAGCGGCACACCGCCGGCTGGCTCTCTCGGGGGCTGCACAGGTGTTCCTTCAGATGTTCCCCTTAGATGTTCCTGGTGCGTGCCGTCTCTCTCCTCCTTTATAGTCCTCCTCTGCCAATCCCAACTCGGCTGCCCACACGCCGAGTACGCTGCTCTCCTCCAATCAGGAGCAAGTCCTACAGTTTATTGGTTGAACTGGAGGCAGCTGTGTAGAAGCTGTTTTCTTCTCTCCCAGCGCCATATTGTGGGAGAGCAGGTGCATAGAATAAGTCTTAATTCCAGTAACAGTCTAGTCCGAGCTGCTCCCCACAGATCCCCCTTTCTTTTTATTTTTTGGCGTTGATACGCGCCTGTCTTCGGTGTCCCGCGGCACACACTCTGCTCTACTTGCTAGAGTTGCCACAGGTTCTTACAAGTCCTATCAATCAGGCAAACCGAATCCGGGTCCTCTCTTCGCCATGTTGTGAGGAGGTTTTTAGGCGCTGATGCGTGCCTGTGTTCGGTGCCCTGCAGCACATGCTCTACTCTGCTAGAACTGCCTGCAGGTGCTTACAAAACCTATCAGGCAAACCGAATCCAAGCCTTCTCAGCGCCATATTGTGGGGAGGCTTATTGGTGTTGATTCGTGCCTATCTTCGGTGACCTGCAGCTCATACTCTGGTCGAGCCGCCTGTTGGTGCTTACCGCCCTAATCAGGCAGACCGAATCCAAGCCTTCTCATTGCCATGTTGTGGGGTGACTTATTGGTGTTGATAACGTGCCTGTTTTCGGTGACCTGCGGCGCATAAGCTGCTAGCCGCCCGCAGGTGCTCACCGCCTCACTAATCAGGCAGACCGAATCCAAGCCTTCTAATTGCAGTATTGTGGGGAGGCCTTTCTATTTCTCTACTTCTCTATCTCTGGGCATTCCTATTTCTCCCATTTTACTTCTATCTTCCAGCATTCCTATTTCTCTCATTTTACTTCTAAACTTCTGTTTCTCTTATCCCCGCGGCTTCCCGGCGCCCGCCCCGAGGCCGCCTCTCGGTGGCTTTCCGGCTCTGAGCCGCTTCAGCCCGCGCCTCTCTCATCTGCGCGGCTCGGCTTTGCGCACACACTCCGCGGTTATGCACTAGCCCCGTGTTCCCTATCTACTTGAGCCCCGCACGCTCTGTCTGCGCGTGGCAGCCTCCGCGAGTCACACAGCGTAGCTTGCGTCTCCGCCATTAGCATTCAATCCAAGTTCCCCGGGCTAGCCTGGCGAATTCAACCCAGCTCACGTCTCCGCCCCACGATCTGGCTTCCCGTCCTTTGCTCCCCGGGCTAATCAGACGGATCCCAATCCGGCTTACGTTTCCGCTTCTGGTTTCAACTTTTCGCCCCCTATTCCCGGGCTAACTTGAGAATCCCAAAATGGCTTTCGTCTCCGCCTCGGCCTGCCCCCCGCGGCTTCAATTTCCCTAACATTTTTCTCTACCCGGTATGTTTCCCCAAACTTTCCTCCAACAATACTCCTCCCTCATTTCTCCTGGCCTCTCCCCACAGTCCGCATCCGAGTCTGTTTGTTCTAGGTTTCACTTTCGCTTTCGACCTTAGAGATTTCTCCCAGCTTCCCCCCGTAGTCCGTATCCGAGTCTATGCCTAGGCTTTCAATAGCTTCTTCCGGCACCTTTTTCGTCCGGCTTTTCCCTAGGCTGTTTGCTAGTCTCTCTCTCTGGTATTTTCCCATTTCTTCCCGTTTCTTCCCTCCTAAGTTTCCTATCCGTCCTAGGTTTCCTATCCGAGTCACGGCACCATTATGTCGCTCCCCCTCTTCGTGGAGGAACGACGCTGAACCCTGCCTAGGCTTCATATCCGAGTCACGGCACCATTATGTCGCTCCCCCTCTTCGTGGAGGAACGACACAGGACCCTGCGCTGTCCTTTCGTCTGCTCGGCCCTCCCCGGGTTTGCTGCTGGTTCTTCCCGGGTTGGCTACTGTCCCTTCCACCTCCGTGGAAGGGCAGTTCCCCCTGGCCACATTCCCCACTTCCGCAGGGGAGCGGCACACCGCCGGCTGGCTCTCTCGGGGGCTGCACAGGTGTTCCTTCAGATGTTCCCCTTAGATGTTCCTGGTGCATGTTGTCTCTCTCCTCCTTTATAGTCCTCCTCTGCCAATCCCAACTCGGCTGCCCACACGCCGAGTACGCTGCTCTCCTCCAATCAGGAGCAAGTCCTACAGTTTATTGGTTGAACTGGAGGCAGCTGTGTAGAAGCTGTTTTCTTCTCTCCCAGCGCCATATTGTGGGAGAGCAGGTGCATAGAATAAGTCTTAATTCCAGTAACAGTCTAGTCCGAGCTGCTCCCCACACCTTCCTTCAAGCATCTTAGAATAAATTCTCAAAAATGACGTGACTGGGCCAAAAGATTCCGACACCGCGTCATTCATTACTTTCTGAACTGATTGTGTAGTAGGATTCTTCAACACCAAATAGGAGCGCTGGGGGTGTCTTGGCAGATTCATTTCTCTTGCTTCTGAAAGTTTGGACTTCTAGAGGAAGGCTTTGGAAGAGCAGGCTACTGTAGACATTTCTGGGCCAGCGCCACGGCTCACTTGGCTAATCCTCCGCCTGCAGCGCTGGCACCCTGGGTTCTAGTCCCGGTTGCTCCTCTTCCAGTCCAGCTCTCTGCTGTGGCCCAGGAAGGCAGTGGAGGCCAGGAAGGCAGTGGAGGATGGCCCAAGTGCTCGGGTCCTGCACCAGCATGGGAGACCAGGAGGAAGCACCTGGCTCCTGGCTTCGGATCAGCACAGCATGCCAGCCATAGCAGTCATTTTGGGGGGTGAACCAATGGAAGGAAGACCTTTCTCTCTGTCTCTCTCTCACTGTCTAACTCTACCTGTCAAAAAAAAAAAGGCATTTCTGAAAATCCTGGTAGGAACCAGGACCACAGCACTTCCTGTCTCCCAAGGGTAGGATTTGTTTTGACCTGGCTGTCAAATCCCTTCTCTTACTACTTCCTCAAATGTTAGGCCTCTCTGAGTCCCCCCATGTCATTCCCGTTGAAGTCAAGGTGACTCCTTCGAGCTGGGTGGTGGGGTGAGGCTGTCACAATGAGGGGGCTTGCTCCTGCGACTTCCTAAGGAAGCCTTCTAAATAGGGAATCCAGCAGGGGCTTGCTGACCCCTGCCAACACACCTCAAAGCAAAGGAAACCCACTAAGGTGCTGGACTTCAAACAAGACAGAGGCCCAATGTCATTGTCCTGCTGAACTTGAAATGAGCCACTGTGGTGATAAAACAATCGGCAGCCTCAGAACATGGAAACAAAAAGAGTAAACCAGAGTCAATATAAATCCAACTAATAACGTTATTTGGTCCCTGAAGGAGACCTCAGTCTATTTTCTGCCTCACCTTGACCTCGTTTTATGACACTGTATGACTACTAATTTCTACTTCTGTTTCAGTGTCCATAAAGTGACTTCCCTTATCACCAAATTAGCACCCATTTCCTTCTGCCTCCTGATCCCTGCCATCAGTAGACATGTCGGGGTAATATTTGGTTACAGAACCAAACAACTGGAATAACAGCATCTTAGGATTGCATGGGTCCAGGCCCTTCAAGATAAAGAAGCTGACAATTTATCACTTAATTTTTTTAAGATTTTATTTTTATTTATTTGAAAGGCAGAGTTACAAAGAGAGAGAGAGAAGACATCTTCCATCCTTTGGTTCACTCCTCAAATGGCTACAACAGCTAGAACTGGGCTGATGCAAAGCCAGGAGCCAGGAGCTTCTTCCGGGTCTCCCACATGGATGCAGGGACCCAAGGACTTGGGCCATCTTCCACTGCTTTCCCAGACCATAGCAGAGAGCTGGATTAGAAGTGGAGCATCCAGGACTCAAACCGGCGCCCATATGGGATGCTGGCTCTGCATGTGGAGGCCGTCCCAACACTTTATCACTTATTGAAAGTACCCTCTGTGTTCCATAGTTTACTGGGATTGCCTCATTTGATCCTCACCCTGCTCAGTGAGTGAGGTGTTGTCACCATCCTCATTTTTCAGAAGACAAAGCTATGTGTAGAGAAGTGAAGTGCTTGCCAAAGTCTGACGGTTCCTGGCAGGTCCAAGGTTAGAAAAGTCTTGGCATCCTCTTTGCCCCTGGTTTTCTGAGTGTTATAAAGAGCAGCTGTGGGTGTCAAGGCTCAACATGCATATGAGGAGCCCCCAAAGTCCTCCCTGGAAGGCTTGAGGGCTACAGAAAACCAACCCAGGGTGTCGCTGCAGGAGTAAGTTTCCCACTCCACTGTGTCTCTTCTGTTCTCCCACACAGCTGCCAAGTGTCCCCAGTGAGAATCCGCGGTGGGGCAGGCTGCTGTGCCCAGCGCTCAGGAGAGAGGAGAGAAGACAGAGATGCATCTGAACCTGGTTTTTCTTTTGACAGGAGATCGACGATTGCCTGGTTCAAGCAAAAGACCGAAGTTACGATGCCCTTGTGCACTTTGGGAAGCGGGGCTTGAACGTGGCCGCCACAGCGGCTGTGATGGCTGCTTCTAAGGTACTGTGCTGGGCCCCGACCGCTGGTGCTGGGCGGGGTCTCACTCCCTCCCATCTGCCCCGTTTGTGTAGCTCCCACAGAACAGGCTGAGGACCCATCAGGCGCACCTTGTGTTTTTGGGGCCCCTTTGGAACTCTGAAATGGTGAATCTTGTCACTGAGAATCTGTGCACAGGCACAGTCGCCCCCACTCACATCCCAGATGCGTGCTCCATCACGACTTCCCTGAGCCCCTGAAACTCCCCGGGGAGCCAAGGTCGGGAACCTCTGACTTCCTTGGGAGAAAGGGAAGAAGGAAGTGGAGGGAGAGGAGTGCCTCTCTGCAGTTTCCCAGGGTGTAAACTCAAAGTGGACGGGTTGAGAGACCACCTGAGCAAGTGGGTGGTCTCCTTGCCCATGGCCCCGTGGATCAAGGGGAGGGGTCCCGGAGTGAGCTGAGTTGTCCCAGCATGCAGTTGGGTGAGCTGTGTAGCAGCAGTGACTAAGCTGGAGCGGTTGAACTGAACTGCTCCTGGGGGTGTTGTGATACAAACATTGCTGCTTTCTCTTTCCTACCCAGCCCTTTCTGGGAGCACCCCGCGTTCCCTGTCTCCTATCACTCTCTTGGTCATTGGTCAGTTTCTCATTATGTCTTTAGACCTGAAAATTCAACAGGTCACACATTTCCTCCCAGAGTCAAGTCAGCAGATCGCCCTAGGTTCCCAGGGACAACCCTTTCCCCGAAATCCCGATGTGGAATAGGGGTCTGTTCCAGCGGGGGGTGGAGGCAAGGCAGGTACACGAGTACTGAGGGGCAGTGCAAGGGCTGGGAGGTGGGTTGTCTTAGCATGGGGAGGGTTCACATCCTGGGTGGTGCTGTGAGGGTCTGGGGCCCCTTGGTGCAGGCCTTGGTGCTTCATGGGCCCCGAGTAGACAGCAGCATGGAGGATGCCGAAAGTCGGGTGGGTCAGGGGACTGAGCTCGCTTTCTGTGCGTGAACCAGAGAGGGCTCTTCTGGGAGGAGGACTCGGTATGCAGGGACAAGCACCTTCCACTGAAGTCAAGGAGTTCTGCAGGGAGCTGAGGGAGAGGAACAAGGGCTAGCTCCTTTTCTAATGCACACTTAGTGAGTGGGCCACGGTCCTGCAGCTGGCATCGTGAGGGCCCTGCATGGCAGGGTGCTGGATGGAGTGAAGGGAATTCCACTTTGGTACCCCAAGGAGATCCATTAGGGTTTATGAAGAGCAGTGAATTCTAAGAACCTTCCATTTGAGATACAACCATTTGATGCTTTTATTTTTAAGCTGAATTCAGAATCACCAAATTCTTAGTTCATCAGGCCAACATAAAGCTTCAGGAACCCTCTCTCTAGCTCATCCCCTCTGCTCTGAGCCTCGGTTCGGTCGGTGAGTGTGATGAGTGTAGGCAGGTGTATGTGTCACAGTGGCTCCTCAGCCACGTGTGAGTAAATTGGATTCTGATGGAACTTCCATGGGGCCACAGGTTTTCAGGTTGACCTCCAACTGGAGCAGCCTCTGTCCCGGTACCTGGTTAGCTTGTCACTGCCCACCTCTCTGAGTGCCTGTGACTCCTCCAGCCAGGCACCCTGAAAAATACCTCAAACCGGAGGCAGATAGAAGCAACTGTTCATTAGTTCTTGCTAGCTGGGCAGGAGGAATGGGGGTGGGGGGGGTTCTTCTTTCTGTTGAATTTGGTCTCATATGGGAAACTTTTCTGCTTTTTCTCTAAATATGAACATTGAGAGAGACCGTATCTTTTCTTCCAAAAATAATTCCCTCTATTTCTGGAACAGATACGTACTTTTAAAAACAACCAAAAAAGATGACGAAGAAGTAATATCTAAAAATCCAATCCAACTGGCATGTGCGCTGGTGGTTTCCGTAGCAACTGTGGCTTGCGCAGGTGGTGGGGGGTGTGACTCACCCGGGTGTCCAAATCTGGCTGCGATGCCCACAGCACCCAGGAAGCTCTGCTTACTGTTTTTCAGTAATTCCTCTGGAGTGCTGGATCAGGATATCAGGCCGTGGGCCATGCCTGACTATTTTTACCAAGCTTCCAAGATGAGTTTTAGGCAGCCGGCTCTGCCCAGGTCACTATCAGCGCTCCGTCCAGAGCCTTCGGAGCAGAGACGATTAGGATTAGAAGGGTGAGCTTCTGAGCCACTGCTGCGGTGCAGGTTTAGCTCCTTGCAAGCATTAACTTTGTGTGTGAGTGTGTTGGGGGGGTGGGGGTGTCAGGAAATGTTGATTTCCCCCACACTTAATGCCAGTTGAGGAACACAGTCATATGCCAATTAATGACAGCTGTGTTCAGAGAGATGCGTCATTAGGTGGTTTCACTGTTGTGCGATCGATCACAGAGTGTACTCACGGAAGCATCGTGGCATGGTCTGCCACATGCCTGGGCCAGGTAGCATCCACCATGGTCGTGTGCACAGTCCATCTCTGACCAACACGTCCTCCTGTGGCCACTGGCTGCCATGGTTCTTGCCCCTCTGTTGTGTGTGCCAGAGTCCAGCACAGTGCTGTTCACCTAGCCAAGCCCTTAGCCCCTTGTTGATGACCCCAGGGGACTAGCTGGAGCGCTTGCCTGGAAAAGGACACCCTGCCCAGTCACCTGTGCCGGGGGTGACCATGTAGTTTATTGTTCAAACCAGGACACGTCTGAGCATGAAAGAGGGGCAGTGAAAGTGACCCTGTCCCAAGCCTGTGGAGATTTCTGATTGCCCTACCCATGGCTTCGTTTTCAGTCTCTTAGACCTGCCTGTCTTGTCCCAGAAAGAAAACCTCAGCTCACTAATCAGTTCTCACTCAGTATCTACTGCATTTAGTTGAGGGGATGAGAGAGAGGGCGTGATGGGGGTGGAAGGCACTGTCTTTGCTCTGACGACTGAGTGGAGGCTCCATCAGGGGACAGACCAAAGAGCCACCCCCCACTTTCTGTTTTCTCTCCTTGGATACTTCCAGGGAGAAACTGAGAATGAAAGATCTTTAACTGTACTTTCATTCTTTTTGGAAAAAAAATGATTTGTTTGTTTTTTTTAGCAAGCAGAGTGACAGAGAATGAGAGAGGAAAAAAAAATCTTCTATTCTCTGGTTCACTCCACAAATGCCCAGAACAGCCAGGATTGGGCCAGGCTGAAGCCTGGAGCTCCTGGCAGGTCTCCCACAAGTACCTGGGCCATCTGCTGCTGCCTCCCAGGATGTACTGGCAGGAAACAGGATCAGAAGTGTAGAGTAGCTAGGACTTGAACCAGGCACTCTGAAGTGAGGTACAGGCATCTCAAGCGGTGGCCTAACCCACTGCACCACAGCGCCTGCCCCCTTTAAATGTTTTTACAAACACTTTTTAAGGGGCTCTGGTGTGGCGCAGCATGTTAAGCAGCCGCTTGTGAGGCCGGCATCCCAGGAGTCCTGGCTGCTCCACTTCCTATCCAGCTCCCTTGCTGATGCCCAGGGAAGAAGAAGAGGATGGACCAAGTGCTTGGGCCCAGACTGAGCTCCAGGCCCAGCCCAGACATTGTGGCCATTTCGGGAGCGAACCAGTGGATAATTCTCTTTCTCTCTCTGTCTCTCCATTTCTGTCACTCTGCCTTTCAAGTAAATTAAATAAAATAAACCTTAGAAGTTTCAAAAAATTTTATATTTGAGGAGGAGGAGAGAGAGTGAAAGCAAGAAAGTGAGAGAGACATTTGCAGTATGCTGGTTTACTCCCAAATGCCCAGGAGTCTGGAACTTAATCCAGATCTCCCATGTGGGTGACGGGGACCCAACTATTTGAACCATCATCTTTTCTTCCCAGGGTGCACCTTAGCAGGAAGTTGGGATCAGGAGCAGAGCTGGGACTTGAACCCAGGCACTCCAGTACAGGGTATGGGCATCCTGAGCAGTGTTTTAGCCATTCCATGAAGTGCTTGCCTCTTAATCGCTTTTAAAAAATATTTTACAAGGGCTAGTGTCGTGGCTAGGGTTAGGCCACCACTTCCAATCCAGCATCCCTGCTGATGTGCCTGGAAAAGCATCAGAAGATGGCCCAAGTACCTGGGCTCCTGCCACCCATGTGGGAGACCCAGAAGAAACTCCTGGTTCCTGACTTCTGCATGGCCCAGCCCTGACTGTTGTAGCCATTTGGGGAGTGAATCAGCAGGTGGAAGATCTCTCTATTTCTACCTCTCACTATATATAACTCTGCCTTTCAAATAAATAAAAATTTTTAAAAAATTTTTGTTAACAATAATTGTATACATATTTATAGGCTACAGTGGACATTTCAGCACATGTATACAGTGTGTTCTGATTACATCAGGGTACTCAAAGTTTCCCCTTCTTTGACTTCACTTTGTGATCGGAGCCTTGGACCTCTTCTGTTTGCTCACGAAAGGTGGTTCTGAACTGTAGTCACCCACTACATTGTGTAACACTAGGAACTTATTCCTTCTCTCTGCCCCTACCTGGTAACTTTTATCCAAACTCTCACTATCCCTCCTACGCCTCCCAGACTCTAGTAATCACTTCTCTGTGTTCAGATTGGGGTTTGTTTGTTTGTTTTAGCACCACACATAAGGGAGAACATGTGGTATTTGTCCTTCTGTGTCCGGCATATTTCACTCAGCAGGATGTACTCCAGTTCCATCCATTTAACTGCAACTCAATTAATCTTTTTAAAAATAATGTTGAGCCCTGAGCCCTTTCTCTAATAAAGTTAACATTTGCAGTGTTTTTTTCTTGAATCATCACAAAGTATGTAGAAACTTTGTAAGTCATATCACTACATACATATAGAACTTATTAATGAAAATCCTGATATTTTGCCTTTGAACTGGAAACACTAAGAAAATTAAACATGGGAGATTAATTCACAGAATGATGAGCCCCATCCCACCCCATTTTCCCCAGGGACTGACCAGTCCCCAGGGAGGGCTGACGTGAGGTTTCCTCCAGTGAGAGCTGCTGTCTGCTGCCCAGGTTGCTTCTCCAGCACCTTCTGTCTGAGCATCCCTAG